GCCCCTGCCGGGACGTCCGGCCAGAGGGTGCCCCGGGAGCAGGAGTCCGCGCAGCCGTCCAGGGAGGGCACCGCCCCACTCTGAGCACCGCGTGCACCGAGCTCTCCCTAAAATGCTGCCTTATTTATTCTGAAACGAAAATTCCCTGAACCGGCCCATTCTGCTCTCCCTCACTGTGTCGTTACCGCATAGCCCAGCCCAGCACGGCACGGCCGTGTGCACGGCCAAGAGCGTCCCGTCCTCACGACAGCTGGCGAAGCTCCTGACCCATGATACGGGGTGCTGCAGCGTCTGCGTCTCCCTGCGAGTCCCCCGTGACACCCCCCCGTGACACCCCCCGCAGGGCGGCTCCTCACCCAGCCCACGGCGCAGGACGCGGTTACCTCCAGTTCATCGCGGCCACTTCGTTGATGTACTCTGCGCAACAGACCAAGAGCACTGAAAAGACAGAAACGGCGTGTTAACTTTGGACGGGCGATCACCAGCCATGGCAGAGTAAGACCACGTGTTTTTACAGCAGAACACTCAGCACTAACGTGACGGTTTCCGAGGGTTCGATGCGGGACGTGATTTCTATTTCTGATACGACACGAGGCAGACGCTCCAACCCTGTAGTGACAGGCCACACGCTTAGCACACAAGACCACCAGGGTCCACACGCTCACGGCCTCGCGGCCCAGGCGGCAGCAGCAGAGCCCTGGCGGGAACCCGGCCTCACCCTCACAGCGCAGGGCTCCCCAGCTGCGCTGAGCAAGGTGCCTGTCCTCGCGACACGGGCCACGGTTCAGGCCCAGCCGACACACGCAGTCCGCCAAGAGCCGGGAGACCAAGTGCTTAAACCCTTCCAACCTCACGTTTCCGGAGCTGCCGCGCGAGACCACGACTGAGACTTCAAGGAAAACCGACGGGAAGGCACCGAGGTTTGGAGGCAAAGGCAGGAGGGAGAACAGACCCACGGGCAACAACGGCACAGGTCGCGGCAGCTGACGGGGCTGACGGCGTCACCATCGCAAGCCCATCTGCACCGCCGCCCTCTGGGGCACAGGGCTGGGGACCCTCCCAGGGTCTCGAGTGCGTTCACGGGCAGTGCTGTCATTCGGACGCGGGAGACAGCGGCGCGAGCTGCTCACACACTGGCCTGCACGGAACAGACAGTGTGACTTGGCAAATTTAAGACCCGGGGGTTAATTTCTGGTTTTCGTTTCTCAGCTAAGTCACAGGAGCAAATGCTTTCGTTCTTTCTGACCCAAACCAGGGAGAGTAAACCGGGTGAGCATCTCCTGACTCCTCCAGGAGGGGCCGAGTGGGGCCCGAGAGAGGAAGAGGACGGAGCCAGGGCAGGAGGCAGGCGTGGCGGGGAGGGGCGACGCCAACGCCATCCCCGGGGAGCCTGAACATGCTGGGAGCTGGGGGAGTTGGAGAATCTCAGCGTGCGTCATTCGTAAAGATGACTCCGAGGGAGGTCTGAGGGCTGAAGGAGTCACGAGAAACTCGAGGGCACGTAGAGCAGTGTCCCCACTACCGGAGTGGGGGCAGTCACTCCTCATCCCCTGAGAAGGCACCGGCCCTGCACAGCTCTTGAGTCGGCAAAGTTGTTCCAAGTCCACGAGCTCATCTGGCGAGGCCCCCGTTGCCTCCCGGCATGCCTCGGGGCCTTTGCACACGCCATCCCATGCAGAGCACTCACTCCGGCCCTCTTGTCACAGGCTGGTGGCCAGCTCATTCCCATGCATCTCGGTTTAAATGGCAACTGCCACAATTTGAACCAGGTTCGATGTGCTCGCGACTTTGATCGTAACACCTGTCCCAGCTGGTAACAGCTTGGGTGGGTCTGTGACTGCTCCCTGGAGACTGGTGCACCCATCACGCTCCACGGGGCTAAGAGGCCGTGCCTGCTCTGTCTGCCCCTCGTTCCCTGTGCACGCCTGACCGAGAGCTGCTCTAGGAAGAGGGCATCGCTTGCGCACGCGGGACTTAACTGCTCACTGCTGCACCCACCCTCCTGAACAGCCTCTCCTTCAGCCCTCCTGCTCCACGCAGCCAGCTGCTAACTCGCCTCAAGTCAGCCGTTGCGTTTTTAACCACAAGCTCAATCTCCGTGTCTTTCCAGAGTCCGCGGAGTCAAACGGACCCTCAGGAAGGCCTCTGCGCTCGCTCAGCGCCAGAACCGCGCATGGCCCCGGGGCTGGGGTCCGACTCCTGACCACCCTGCCTATCCCTGCCCCCACACGGCAGGGGTGCCGCCCCCTGCCCCCCACGGGCACATCCCCCCAGGTCTCCCGGTCCCGCCAGGGCCAGTCGCTGCTCCCGGTCTCCTGTATTAACACGTCACTCACGCTGCACCCCGTGCGCCAGGCCTTTTCTTTGTCTGCGCAGCCGTCCTCCACCACGCCACGCAACCCCTCCCTCCGCTAAGGCCGGGAGCCCTTACTTTCACCGCGTCTGGGCACCGTCTTGTGGACACACAGAACTTTCCTTCTTGTGTGCACCCTGTAAAGGCCAGCATTTCGGAAAACCGGACTCTGCTCTGCGTACCTGGTGTTGAGCACCTGTCCTGGCACGTCAGGTACTCACGGATTCCTTTCTAATTTAATATCCAAAAATTACTTTTCTTTTCCATTCCCAAGAGTGGAATTGGGAGTGCCTTAAAATTCCCAGTGAACACGGGGCGGAAGGGTTGGGAGGTCCTGCAGAAACACTGACCTGTGGGGAAGGCACAGACACACATGCACACACAACCCCACGCCACACGGTGGTCGGAGCCGTTTACTCACCGAGGCACAGGAAATGCCCAACCTGCAGTCGGTAGCTCTGGGCGGAGACACAGGTGAGGAGCAGGCAGAGCAGGTGGAAGACGGCGAGCCCCACCAGCCACGGCTCGGTCCAGTCCGTCTGCTGGGAGGACACACCACAGCTCGTCACCTCACCCGCTCCACTCACTGGCCCCAAAGCAGCCACAAGAAATGCCATTTGCAGCTCCCTGGACTAGTGCTGACGGCCTTGGGACACTGAGCCACCCCACCCTGCATGTGTGGCCTTCCCCCACCTTTCCGGAATGCACCCAGCCCTCGGCAGCGCGGCCCTCCCAGGCTCCTACCTCACAGGAGGGGAATGTCCACGAGCCAGCCCAGGGCCATCTGAGCCCAGTGCCCGCGTGGTACCCAGCGCCCTCCTGGCACTGAAACCTCCCCTGAAGCTCAGTCCCCACCTGACACTCGGTCCCCCCGACACTCCGTCCCCCCCGACACTCGGTCCCCGCCTGACACTCGGTCCCCCCTGACACTCGGTCCCCACCGACACTGGGTCCCTCCCTGACACTCGGTCCCCCCTGACACTCGGTCCCCACCGACACTGGGTCCCTCCCTGACACTCGGTCCCCACCGACACTCGGTCCCTCCCTGACGCTGGGTCCCTCCCTGACACTCGGTCCCCTCCTGACACTCAGTCCCCACCTGACTGAAGTCCCCTCGTGAAGCTCATATGCTTTGGAAGCTCAGCCCTCCCGATGGTCACTCTACAATCCCGCCTGTCCCCAGCCGTGCCCAGGCCCTCCTCCTGACCCCCCACTGGATGAGAGGAGCCCTGCAGAGCCCCTGGGGACTCCTTTGAGAGTGGGCTGCTCTGCGCAGGTCAGCACACCTGCAGGAAGTGCACAGGTGGCCTCGCCAGAGCCAGGCAGGGCAATAGAGGACAAGCTCATCCCTGCCCATCAGCATGCGGACCAAGAGCCCAACGGGCGAGCCCAACGGGCGCACGGCGCTACGGTAGCCCAGCAGGCCACACCACCCCTGGGTGGCCACAGGGACCCGGGGGCCTGAGGACAGCTGTTGGGGCCACCAGCCCACTGCCAGATGCCAGGACACAGCACTGAGGTCTCCCCACCTCCCCTCCAGACCCCAAACTCAACAACCCCCGCAAGGCTGGAACCAGTAGGCCCAGGCCCAGCACGCACGCCCCGCCCACATGGCCCAAGCTCCTCCCTGGACGACCTCCAGCCTGCTCCCGGGCCCAAGCTCCGCCCCTCACGCCCCGCCCAACCTTTATGCCACGCCCACCAGCGCCAGCTCTCTGCGCTCACCCTAAGCCACACCCACAGGGCCCAAGCCGATCCCGCACGGCCCTAGTCCCGCCCCGGGTCCCGCCCACGCGGCCCCAGCTCCGCCCGCCACGGCCCAGCCGGCACCGCGCACGCCAGCGCGCCCGCCCTAGCCACGCCCACGCCGCGCGCACGCAGTCCAAGCCCCGCCCAGCAGGGCCCGCGCCATCCCAGCCCCAATCCGGGTCCCCCGCGTGTCCGCAACGCAGCCGGAGCCCTAAGTGGGGACTGCCCAGGCTGCGAATTACCATGATCACGGCGGGAATGCTGACTGGGAACGAGCTCACGGAGAACGGGGACGGGGACGGCATGGTGCCGGAGAGCCGCCCTCACAGCAGCCGCACACCAGCCTGGCCGGGCTCCAGGAAGGAAGGCCGTGATCTTCTGCTCTCGCGAGATCAGCCGCCCTCGCGAAACTTTCGCCGTCCTCCCTCTCGCGATAGTTCCGTGACGTGTTTTTAGGTGCGGATTATGCGATCCTTAGGATTTTACCGCAAGGACGATAAAATTAGTAGGGTTGTACGTAGGGTTTGTTCTCTCCCCATTGGCAGGTGGAGGGCGCCATTGGTTCTTGTGACTGAGAAGCGGGCAGACGCGGTGGGCTTCTCGGGGAGGGTCGGGCGCTGTACGAGGTCGCCCGCGCGTCCAGACGGGGACAGTGTCGTCCCCGGGACCCTGCGGGACCTGGACAGTGTCCCCCCCCAGGACCCTGCGGGACGTGGACAGTGTCCTCCCCGGGAAAGTGCACGACCCGGACGGTGTCCCCGCCTAGGACCCTGTGGGTCTTGAACAGAGGACCGTTAGGACCCGGAGAGTGTCCGCCCCCCGGGACCCTGCGGACCCGGACGGTTCTACTCCCGCCCCACCCTGCAGGGCGAAGGCCAGCGCGCTCTCTCTCCGTCATCTTAGGGTTGTTCGTGGTGCTGCTCATCCTTAGAGATTTCCCAGGCCTCATTATGCTTCACCTTCTTCTTCAGAAATGGATAGAAAAATATAAAAATTGATTGGGGGTCATTTCTGACTTGTAAAATTAATGTACTTGCGGCTAATTTCTTTTTTTACTGTTGCAATAATAATATAGCTCTTTTCCCTTTTATTGAAGAATTTCATCCCACCTTTGAGAATATCATTCTATTTATTTTAAAATGATGAATTAGTAAAGTCATATAATTTTAGTGTATATA